AGCCAGCCCATTTTTTAGGGCTTCAGGCTTCACTCCCTCTGGGTAGGGAGTGAGTATTCTCACTTCGGCCATTCTTATGGCCTTTTTGTACCATTTCTCTAGGTACTCCTCTTGCTCCCCTGCCTTCATGGGGTCGCTATCCAATGGAGATCTCTCCTTTGGAGGGGTTTTCGCTGGGGGGAATCTTCCTCGCAGCGTTTCTTTGGTTTAATTCGCCTGAAGTTGTATTTGGATTCTCTCATTGTTTTGAGAGAGTGTGGTTGAGTTACAGTGCCCCAAAAAACCGTTGCAATGTTTTGCACTTTTCACTTTACAAGCTTATTGCACCCTGGGAAGGGATCCTAAAATTACATAAAAATATGAAAATAATGCACTAGTAGCTCATCAATAGCTCCACCAATTCTCTAATAAATGTGTGCATTTTTGGTAAAGTTATTCACTTTCCAAAGGACCCATGTCATTGCAACGGTTTTTTGGTGTGCATTTTGGAGAAAGGAAAATCACATTAACTAGTATTTAGTATAGCCACCTTTTGCCCTAAGTAGTGCCTCAATCCTCCTAGGCATACTCTTGATTAAATTCTGGCAGACACTTGGTCCTATCCTCTCCCACTCCTCCTGAAACTGATCCCACAGCTCATGAACACCACTTGGAGGTTCTTCATACTCCCCAAGCTTCCTCTTTGCATGGTTCCATAATTGTTTGATTGGATTAAGGTCTGGGGACTGGGAGGGCCACTCCATGACCCTGATACCATGGTTATTGAACCAGTTCTGGGCCCATTTGCTGCTGTGTTTTGGGTCATTGTCCTGTTGGAAGAGGATGTGGGCTGGGTATTTGTCATAATATGAGAGGGTTTGCTGGAAGTCCTCTTCCAGGATTTGGCAGTAGAGCTCTGCATCCATCTTCCCATCAATCTTGCATGCCATTCCAACTCCATCTGATGTCATACATCCCCAAACCATGACAAAACCACCACCAAACTTTCTTGTTCCTTGCACCAGCCTGTCTGTAAGAGGTTCATCCCCCCATTTCCACACCCATTTCCTCCCATCTGACCCCAGGTGATTCACCTTAGTCTCACCAGACCACACCACTCTCTTCCAATCCTCCAGAGTCCACTCTTTGTGGCTGATTGTGAAGTCCATTCCCTCCATCTTATGATGTCTGCTGAGCATGGGCTGCTTCTTCTTCACCACTGCTTTCCAACCAGCCTCCTTTAGTTGCAGATGAACAGCCTCAGTTGAGAGGCTGGTGCTGGTGACTTTTTGAAGAATTTGGGTGACTTGTGCAGCATTGTTGGCTTTACCAGAGTTGATAAGATGCATTGCATGATGGATATTGGTGTCTGAGAGCTTAGATGGGCAACCACCACTGGGCTTAGGAGTATCAGGATAATGTTTAGACCAAAGATGGGTAACAGTGGAATGGTGGACAGCAGTAATTGATGAGCACTGTGGCCAGAATCAATGAGAGAAAGCACTTGTTCAATTTTCAAAGCAGCCAATTGACACATTTTAGAATTGGGGATTACAGCTTAAAATCCATGTGTATTTATGCTCCAGCAATGTTTATTTGTTTACTAGTGTATATACTAAACAATATCACATGACCTATCAGATGATATTTCCAGTTTTAGTCCATTCTGGCAGCACACCAAAAAACCGTTGCAATGACATGGGTCCCTTGTGAATTGAATAACTTTACCAAAAATGGACATATTGCTTACATAATTGGTAGAGTTATGGACAAGATACTAACACATGTTCCACATATTTATTTAGAATTTTAAAACCCTTTCCCATTGTTTAATAAGCTCTTGAAGTCAAAGGTACAAAACATTGCAACAGTTTTTTGGGGCACTGTACCTCTCTGTTCAAGAGGTTTGGCCAAACGTCCATGTGCCGATTCTCCCCCAGGACAACCAGCAATGGCACAGTGCTCCACATGAGTCGCTGAGGCCAAGGTCCTTCCATGCTAAGTCTCCAATTCTGGTCTGGAATTGTCCAAATCTGCTGTATCTAACAGTTGAGAAAAAAAGGAAATGAATTCAAGGTAGAAACATTTTCCAAAGAAGGTTTGTTATCACCACTTTAAAGTGGGTGATGTGTACATTTAGGAAGAGAAGGGGAAATAAGAAGAGGAGGAAGGGGTCAGGAGTGTGGGGCTGTTACTTTGAAGTAAACAGCAAGAGGGAAGTAGAAAAGAAGGAGAAAGTTTTGAAAATTGTCAGGGGACAGACCCTGGGTCCCCATGACCCCTCCCTCTATAGCCCACAGCCCTGTGTGTAAACAGCCTATCCTAAGGCATAACCTACTGTGGGTAAGAAAGTGTAATAGATAGAAAGGCAAGTAAGGTACACTTGCCTACTGTGGGTAAGAAAGTGAGAAGAAGGTTAACTTCTCACTTTCCCACAGTGGCCCAATATGGCAAAAACTTCCGGGGATACCAGGAAGTCACATGAAGAGTGGGAACCGGGCCCGGAGCATGTGGCACATGGAGCATGCAGGGCAGAGTGCACAAGCGGGTGCAGGTCCGGGTCCGGGCTAGTCAGGGTGTGTGCCCTGACAAAAATAGATTTTGACCCAAAGATTATATATCTTTGGTATTCCTCCTCACTTGTTCTGTGAGGAGTTGCATGTAATTGGTGTTTACACACAGGCAGTGGTGGAGGTGGGTTAGATGGAGTGGGAATTTTTGCAATTGTTACTTGCAGTTCCTCACATACAATTTTGTGTGTGGGGCCTCAAGTCGGAGGAAGGTGTTTTCACGGGGGTGTCAGGGTTCAGCACCCTGCCCTAGGGTGCCCCAGACTCCCCAACCACTCCCTTCCTCCCATTCCTTGATTGTTGCCATGTTGTTGCTTCTGTGTGTTGTGCATCCACATGCATGGGATAGCATGGGAACTTTCTGAGTGAGCAGCTTGCCCAGAAACCCGCACAGCCCCAACTGTGGGAAGATTCTGGGTGAGCAACTCACCCAGAATCTTCCCACACTCTGGGCACTGCCACCTGGATGTTCCCTCCAGGTCACACTACACAACTCTAGGAGCTGTATAGTTGTGGACATGTGACCCATTCCTTTATCCATGCAGGGAGATGAGACCTTTACCCTTCTTCTCATCTCATGCCCTGTGTCAGAGACTGGATATGGGATGAAGGAGACATCCCCATGGTGGAGGGCTTTGGCCTCAGCGACTTAGACCAGGAGTGCTGTGCCTAGTTACACATCTGTGCCCTAATTTACTAACTGGCAAAGAGAACTAGAAGAGGGAAAACTCTAGTCGATTTTATCACTAGGGTGTAACCTATCTACAAGTTATGTATATATAGTTACATAGAGGGCAGGCCCATGAATGGTGGGACCGAGCAGAGTGGAGCTAACAGAGTTACATGTTGGCCAACTGAATATTACCGACAAGTTGGGTTACGGGGTTAGCAGAGTGGTGGGCTATAACCCAGAAACGGAAAGGAGGGATTGGCCTGAAGGTAGGCTTGCAGGGCAAGCAAGTGAATTGCCCAGCAGAGGTGGGGGTGTGCTAGCGGACATCGGAGCTGTCTGGAGGCCTTCAGGACTCTGTACTTAGGGAGGCATAGGTAATATATTGGATTGAGGGGGTGGTGACCATTGAGGGAGTCGGAGGTGATTGTGGAATATGAGGCTCTGGGGTTAGTGATGAAGGAGCAGAGGTAATCTGGAAGGACTGGAGGTAGTGGAGGATGATGGCCATGGATGGATATGACACCCTGCATAGGCAAGTGTATCTATTTGTAAGGTGGGTGTCCTAGAACCCAGCTGAGTATCAAATATGTATGATTCACAGTGGGTAGGACGATGGTGACCTCCCTGGGTCATGTGACCCCTATACACATGGACTGTGACCTGACACTATTCTCCCTTTTCTACTATACATCTCATGCCCCTGTCATATCCATCCCTGGCCATCGACTTCCACTCCCTGTCAGGGCACACCCACCTCACCCGGCTCCACCCGGCTCCACCCAGCTCCACTCCACCTGCTACCCCCTTCTCCCCCTTCCTATCTCCTCCTCCCTCCACTTCCCCCTCTTCCTATTTCTTCTCCATCTCATTCTCTATTCTTTCTATTTCTATTTACATGGACAACTTCCCTTGATCGATGTACCACTAACCTGCCCGTGACCCATGCATGACGCACCCAACCCCGGATGCCCTGGACAACCCCCGGGTACACCCAGCATGCGCGCCTGCAGCAGATCCCTTCGGGATCCCCCATGGGGATACCCGGGTGGCTGGGGCTGTGCATGGGGACGACGTGGCAACTCTCATGTGACCTGAGCACCATGTATATAAACATACCTGGGGTGGGAACCAGAGAAGCAGTCTTCTTCTCACTATTCCCACTTCAGGGACACTTGCCTGCGCCGGACCTGTCCCTGTACACGCCCGCTTCATACCCCACTGGGCCCTCAGCGCCAGGCGATATACCCAGACGCTCTCGACCCCGGACCGGTCCCTGACACTCCCTCCAATCCCTCCAGTCTAACTCTGCTCCTTCTTCACTAACCTCAGAGCTCCTGTATTCCGCAATCACCTCGGTACCCCTCGATGGTCACCACCCCCTCTTTTCAATTTATTACCTATGCCTCCCTAAGTATGGAGCCCCGAAGGCTTCCAGACAGCTCCGATGTCCACTAGCACACTCCCGCCTCTGCTGGGCAATACACTCGCTTGCCCTGCAAGCCCACCTTTGGGCCTATCCCTCCTTTCCGTTTCTGGGTTATCGCCTACCATTCTGTTAACCCCATAATGTCTAACCCCATTAGCTCCGCTCTGCTCGGCTCTGCCATTTGCGGGCCTGCCCTCATTGTAACTACAGTTAAAACCGTGATAACCCATACCCTTGCATTCCCGGATTTAGGTATGGGTAATGACGGGTTATGGGCTACCTCAAGTTTCTCACGGGTGTTCTTTGTTGTACCGTATTTACATATTTTGAACTCGATCATCACTGTCTACCGTCATGCAACCTTCTTGAAGTAACGATCAAGTGTGCTGCTCCGGAGTGATCCTTGGGCTTGGTGGCAGGTTTCAGATCCGAACTGGGCCAAAATGGCTTCCATTTTCCGCGCAAAAGTTGAGTCCATTTGCTTGGTGTAAGCACGAAGCAGAAGTGCCACTTGAAGAGCTTCTGGACGTGAGATAGTTTGCATACCATCATCGGAGTCATCTGCATCATTGGCCCCTTGACCTGCTAAGTCCTTTTCATTTTCTCCCCATGCCTCAGTCACGGTACTGAAGATGTCATCATCAGACACATCTTCATTGTGAAAGATCTCCAACAGACTGTCTACCAGTTCAGCTATAGTCATCCTGTTTCTCCTATGGAGGACACCAGCTGACTGGAGACTGTCCAAACTTTCCTCCAGATAAGTATTGGCCGCTATGATTGGGTCTTCCAGGCCGGAATTGATGAGCATTGACACAGGTACAGACACCTCACCCACCCGGCACCCACTCGAACTTGAGGGCAGGATCCCAACCTTCATCCAGCAGTGGTGGATGGTCTCTGGTGTGACCTCCATCCAAGCTGTCTGTGCCAACCACATCGCTTCCAGCTGGTCGATGCTATAGATCTTGCTTGGTGTAAGTCCGGAATCATAGTGATCGATCGCGCGACTGATGAATTGCCGTCGATAATGTGCTTTGAAACAGCAAATGACCCCAGCATCCATAGGCTGCACATGGGCCGTTAGATTTGGTGAGAAAAATTCACATCGTATGTTAGTCAAGCTTTCTTGTGTGGTATGGCCAGAGAAGTTGTCATGTAGATAGAGAATGTGCCGTCCTTGAGTGCGAAGTTCAGTGTCCCACTGTCTAAGGTATGTTCCATAGATTGTCGAGGTCATCCAGGCCTTGGCATTATTCTTATAATCAAAGCCAAGCTCAAGACCGGTCTTCTTCTTGAAGCATCGAGGCTTGAATGCTTTACCAATGACAAGGGGGGCACGTCTCTCGGAACCTGTTGCATTGGCAACAAAAAAGTAGGTTAAGCGTACTTCAGTCCTGGTGTAGGGCCCTTACTTAAGCCCTTGTCAGGCAGCATGCTGAAAATCATCAGCGATTAAGTGAGTGAGACTGGGTTAACACTTACGAATAATAAAGTCCCATTTCATCACCATTGAAAATATCGCTGAGTGAATACCCCAACAAAAGCCCCTGCAGACGTACTCGCTCTGCAGCGACATTTTCAGGGCTTGCTGAACCCGCTTCACCATGATGCACATGCAAGCGGAGGCCAAGCCAGCTCTTAATGGATTGGAGCCAACCATTACTCATCCTGAGCTGATCCTTGGGAGCGATGCCAGCGTGGTCAGAAAATTGTTTAAATTTAGCTTGTAGTATCTCTCCTGTGAGCACTACCCCTTTCTCCCCTGCAGCTATGGTCCACAGTTCCAACATCTCTGTAACCATAGGAAATGTTGTATGTTGGACCCACTTGAACTTTGCAGTGACATCGGACCTCTGGAATTCCTCGCGAAGTTTGGCCTCATTCTTCAGCCAAACTGAGATGAGGGGCTGCTTGATCTTGAGGTTAGGGTAGATGGGGTCAAAATGACTGGCAGTCCGAGTTTGATTCTTTCCATTCCTGTGATACCAATCAAGAACTTCAATGCGTTGCTGGAGAGTAGCCGTCTCTTTATGGCTGAAGACCGGTCCCTTCTTTGTTGATGACTCTGCATTTGGGATTCCTTTTTGGGAGCCTGGAAGCCTTCTGAATGCCAGCTGCTCTAGCCATCAAGTTGTTGAGCACTCACGCTTCAAGTTCAGGTTGGATTCACATTCCACCCCCAACACAAGATTGGCCACACATTCTGAATTGGCACTGCCTGCAACTTGCAGGCAATGAGCAGTCACTTTCTGGCCAACTGAAAGGGAGTCAAAGGAGCTCATGAAGTCCTCTGTGTGCTGAAGCTTGGCAACCAGAAGTGCCTCGTCCATGAAATTTGCATCACCATCCAACCAAGCCTCTTCTTCTTCGGTGATTGATATCCCTGATGAAAGTTTGGCTTTGAGCTCATTTATGAGAGGCTGGGCATTATTCTTAAGAGCAGTAAGGCCATTCTCAAGAGAGGTGAGAGTAATTAGAGGGGGGCTCAGCATCATGCACTGTCGCGTTGAAGGCACAATTTCTTTCCGGAACTGTCCCCTGTCATTCTCTCATTATATTGACTGTTATTAACCTTCGAAATGTGTATGTACATTCATATTTAAGCAGGAATACAATGGGTTACGGGCTGAATGCACATGTGGCGGTTTCATGTCTATTCTTTCTTAATATGTACATAGCTTCTGTGCTGCACTTTCTCCAATTACTATGGGTTACAGGCCAATTCTCAATATAAAAATTTCCCCCAGCACTATGGGTTATGGGAGAAGACAGGTTTATGGGTTAGCGGATGGTTTTGAATGGGAACCATACTGGTTCCCGGAAATGGCTATGGGTAATGATGGGTTATGGGTTATCACGGTTTCAACTGTATATATATACTCAACTTGTACATAGGTTACACCTGAGTAATAAAAATCAACTAGAGTTTACCCCCTTCAGTTCTGGTTGCCAGTTTAGTAAGTTAGGGCACAGACGTGTTACTTGGCACAGCGCTCCTGGCATAAGTCGCTGAGGCTGAAGCCCTCCGCCACGGAGACACTCCTTCATCTCAACATGGTCTCTGACACTTTCCACAATGTGAAGCAACGCATAAAAAGAGGAGAAGGCCATAACACAGTCGTCAACATCAAAGGAGCCTGGTTTCCCTGGAGGATGAGGGAAGGGGAGAACAGCATGTATCATGTGAGCATGCTCATGATGTGGAAGCCATGGCAGGGGAAAGAGGACCTGAAGCAAAGGGAACAAACATGGGAAAGAGCCTATGCTGAATTCGAAGAGAGTCAGCCCGGAATGGAACGCATCGCATCCAACATGCAATATCGGTACGAGTGCAAGGATGCAGCAGATCGAGACCAAGACTATGCAAGACAATTCAGTGGAAGGCAAGGCAATGAAGGAGGAAATGTGGAAAGTGATGAAGAGGATGGAGAAGATGACAGAGAGGAGGAAGGTGGAAACACAAGAATTGAGGGGCAAAGCATGGATGAAGGAGATGAAAGGGAATTGCGACGATCCATTGCCACATGCAAGCTGACTGAAGAGGTATTGCATGCAAGACAGGCAGTGGAAATTGCAAGGTGATGCAACGTCATCCCAGAGGACACGATAACATGGGAGTCATGCAAGGAAACGATACGACTAGCTGAGCACAAAGACGTGGCACAGTTCAATGCATGGTCGTTGGCGATGGCACAGAATCATGTTGCAGAGGAAAGTGGAGAAGGAATGCTCACACAAACAATGGCAGTGACAACTTTGGAAGAAGCGCTGAATGGAATGCATGAGAGGAGCAACGATTTTATGTGGCAGACAATTGAAATGCTGACAGAAAGCAGCAACGCATCCAATGATGTAGACGTCTCAAGCCTACATGAAGATCAGCTTTGTGCGTACGCAATGGTAACACATCACCTTGAAGCGAGGATTCGCAGAGAGGATGCAGAACAATTGCTGATGCTCCTGACTGGGGAAAGTGGGACAGGGAAGTCGCAAGTGATTCACAGTATTCGGCAATACTTCAAGAGCCGTGGCATGGAAGGGAAATTGGCCCTGGGTGCATACACAGGAATTGCTGCCAGTCTCATAGGAGGGAAGACGCTTCATGTGTTGTTTGGATTGACGGCTCAACGGTCAGGGAAGCCAGGTGTCAGGGCATACACCCTGACCTAGCCCATACCTGCATCCACACCTGCACTCGCACCCGCACCCACATCCGCACCTGGCTGCTGCACTTCCTGTGCACGCCCTGTGCCGGATGCTCAGTGCGGCTGGATGGCCCGGACCTCGGGTCTCGGATCTCATGTGACTTCCAGATATCTCCGGAAGTTTTCGATGTATTGTGGCCACTGTGGGAAGATGAGAAGTTAACTTCCTTCTCATCTCTGACCCACAGTAGGCAAGCTGTATATACTTGCCCTTTCATTTATGATCATCTCTGACCCACAGTAGTAGGATTGTGCCCTGGATAGGGCTGGCCAGACTTGAGGCTGTGGGCCATAGGGGAGGGTCATGGGGACCCAGGAGTCGTCCCCTGACACCAGGGGCCAGTAAAATCCGCAAACTGGCAAGCATGTGGGCAGGAAAGGAGTACCTCATAATTGATGAGTACTCAATGGTATCCCAATCACTGATGGCTCACCTCTCTACAATAATGGGGCTAATCAAGGCCCACAATGGGGAGGAGGAGAGGAGCTGCATGCCATGGGGAGGATTGAACGTGATAATTTGCGGGGACTTCCATCAGTTCAAGCCCATTGTGCAGAAAAGCAGCGCACCTTTGTACTGGCCAATATCGGTGGCACAGGATACAGGAGAGGACATAACAGGGTCAGAGCTATACCAACGATTTACCATGGTGGTGTGCTTGACACAGCAAATGCGAGCCCAAGATGCAGAGTGGACCGAATTCCTTCGATATGCGCGACATGGGAAATGCACAACTTCGCATTTGAAGATGCTTTGGAGACTCCTTGTGACATCAAAGGATTGTCCCCCAACAAACACGAAGGAGGCCCCATGGAAGGAAGCCATATTGGTGATGCCCCAACACGCAGTGAGGGTCTTGTGGAATGAGCAAGCAATGCAATTGCAGAACGACAGGCAGATGGTTGTACAACTTTCATGCAGAAGACATGATTGGGGGGCAACCATTAACGATATGTGAGGAGTGGGCGATGGCACAGCATGTGCTGAAGGATAACAGTTATAGTGGCAGGCTGAAGCATCAAGGTGGACTGGCAAGGAAAGTGCCCCTGGCGGAGGGATGCAAAGTGATCATCACCACAAATCTGGATACCGACATGGATATCACAAATGGGGCAAGAGGAGAAGTTGTCAAAATATGGGCAGATCCTCGAGAAATCATAATGACAGCAATCGACAGCATTCAAGACATGAAATACCCACCAATGTGCATTGTGGTGAAATTGGATAGATACCGAGGAAAGTGCATCCAAGGGTTGGAAGAGGTAACAATCCCCATATTTCCGATTCTTCGATCTTTTGACATATTCATGCCAAACAGTGACAAAAAGAAGGTCCACTGACACCAGATCACGATGGATAGTGCATATGCATTTACAGATTATCATGTGCAAGGACAAACCATCGACTACTTATGGGCAGACATCGGGACACCTCTGAAAGGAAGCCTAACACCGTTCAATGTGTATGTGACATTGTCGAGGGCACGAGGCCAATCAAATGTACAATTGCTGCAAGACTTCAAAGACAGCCTCTTCACGACAACACCATGTGAGGTGTTAGAACAAGAAGACGAACGATTAATGAATCTCAATAGAGAAACTAAGCAAGACTGGGAAAGAAGGCAAGGACGAAGAGGACAGAGAATGGATGGCTAGATGGGAAATAGCAAGAACAAAAGAAAAAATATATTGCACATCTCCAGCCAATGAAAGTGTGGGAAGGCTTGAAGTAATCAAACAGCAAGCTGGAAATTATATTGAATTTAACAATTGCATCAGATGACCACGCAGCAACTAAATGGGTGAATACGTCAGATTCAGCATCAGTTTTCACGTAATATTAACACCAGAGAGTGACCTGCTGTGCAGGTAATAAGAGTAGATATATCGCGCAAGAGCAAAACCATCCATACTTAGGTGCAAAGAAATTTTAAAGGGAAACTCATTTTCAAATTAATCACATTTATTCTGGCTACCAAACGTGACCATCAGCATTTTTGGATCATGCTCCCACGGTCAAGGTCACGCGCCTGCCGGTCGCTTGTTGTGGCATCGGAAATGAAGGCTGTGCACCTGGCAGAAATTTTGTGTCACGCTTGGGATGCACCGGTAGTTGGTCGTGTGGGTACAGTAAGCGGAACACCTGCCCCCACATTCAGGGACTTTCTCATCGCTTTTTTCCCCGATAAACCGGTTTTCGCTGTAAGACCCTGACGTTATTTTTAACGAAAAACTCCTTCATAAAAAACTCCTTCATAGAACGCTTCGATCAGAACTCGCTCCCAGCTATTAGTATGTGTTAATGCGAGTCCTATTACACTGGCACTAGTGCTCGAATAGCCACTCCCTGGTAGATAACATGCCATCCGAGCTCACTCCCGTCCCGCCGGGTTTACTCGTCACATTCAACCAAACGGCAGACTCATGCACACAATCACTCAACGTTCTTAAAAATACATCTTACACAATCGAATTACACTCACACGCACACGCACAATGGCCCACCCTTCAATCCATACTGACAGACTACACCTCGATCCTCTCCCTCATTTACACACACTCAACGAACCTCTCCTTAGCAATGAAACCGCCTTCAACTTATCCAGCAGTCCCCCGTCTTCTATCCGATCTCACCTCTGACATCACAAAATTAACTTCTTGCGTCCAATTCTTAAGTTCCTGGTACGGTGCAACATTGTACAACGAAGCATCTTGGAAAGCGCGAGAAACCATCGACACCGTTCGAGCACTCGTCCAGACATTCATCCCGAGTCATTCCTTCTCCCCCCATGACAACGTCCCATTCACCGATCATGCACCACACGACTTTTCCAAAACCTACCTCATCCGGACAAACGCCATCCACGCCTCGATAGAATCCACCAAAAAGGGACTCTCAAAATCCAATGCTCAAGCAGTCCTTAAAGTTTGGGATACACATTCTGATTCCATTCAGGATGCATTGGAGGAGTGTGAGGAGTTGACCAGGGAACCGCCCCCAGATGATGAGGTCAATGAGGAGAGCGAGGATAGCGAGGATGACGGGTGGGATGAAATTATGGGTGGCAAGACCGGTCGGAGACTCACACCCGAAGAACGAGACCGGGCTAAAAAGGTATCCGCCCCTGCCATTGTGCCCAACGGCCTTGATCTGACATAAATTTTGTTTTCATCTCGATTCCAAAACCACAACTCTTCCGTTATGGCACCGCGCGGGCTGGTGCACGGATCCATCGAAATTTTTTGGCTGTGCCATTACTGCACCATTGCCCAGACACGAATGCTCGTGAAATTAACACTCTCCCTCCACCGCCGTCTTTCACAATACACCCTCCCTTCCTACTCTCTTCCTACCTCAGCAGAAGCAACCCACACCCTCGACACGTTCCTCTCTCATTCAACCACCCTCACATCTACAATAGACGACCTCGTTTCCTCTCTCCATCCCCAACCTCCAACACCGGACCAGGAGAAATCGATTGATACTGACAGTGACGGCAGTCAAATCGATACTCCACCCATCCAAGAATTCACCACCACATTATCAGCATTAAAATGTCTCGTTCTACCGGAAACGACCACTATTGAAGGGGCAACAAAGAAACTTGCTGATGGGTTAAATTTACAACAGCAACAACGCTCTTCGACGTCCGCCTTGACTAGCACTGCAATTCGTACATCCAGCGATAACAACACGCGATGGTTTACGCTTTGCTTTGCTCAAATCGAAAAAACAGCTCAATCTCTCAGATAACTTTCCCCCCACTCTGAAAAAACTCTGGAACCAAAGACCGGTGTTGGATAGGGAGAAGAAATACATGCGCACAAGCGTACATACGTCGCGTCGATCGCATAGCCATGGGACTTGGGATCCCCGTAACGGACTTGCTAGAGTGCTTAAGAGTCCAGGAGAAATGCATGTTGCGTTGGTCTATTGTCTGTCTTAACTGGTTGGAATAGACATTTACGATGGTTAGAGAGGTGGCTCTATGCGCATGTAAAAAAAAAAAAAACACACACTCAGCGACCACCTATATGCATGGATGGATGGATGGATTCATTTTAGAGTACGTAACCGTGCCTATCGGCATATGCCGTACTATAGTGACTCGGGTGAAAAAAGTTTGGAGAACATAAGGATGTGAAGAAAGGAATTTGTTTGACCTAGGAAGTATGAGACATCGAGTAATCAATGGTGTGAAGGAGAATAAAGTGAGATGAAGCAATAACACATAAAGGGGCATGCGACCCCTGCACTGAGGTTGAACAACGGGTGAGGGAGAATGGAGGTGGAAAGAGGTTGGATAGAGAAAAGGACACGCGACCCCCAGTGTTGGGGTCGCATGTTTTGCTGCTGTGTGCCTATGGTTAAGTCAATGTTTGAGTGCGCGGTTCTTGCGGGTGGGTGAGTTGGAGGGTGCTTTCACGGGTTTATGTCACGGTAGGCTGGTGAGTGTTCCAGTGGCAGCGAAAGGCGATGGGTGTTGGTGGCATCTTGCTCATGCTTGTTGAATAAAGGCATGTGGCAGATAGGCCTTTGGTAGAAGGGGTAGTGGAGAGAAATGAAAGTGTTGGGGTGACGGCAGGACTTGAACCTGCATTCCTTGCAGTCAACTTTTTGTCGGCATATGGGGCTATTGTTGGCGCTACCACTATCGCGCCTCGTCACGAAGAGGTAGTGGAGAGAAAGATGAATCGGAAGGGTGTTGGGGTGATGGCAGGACTTGAACCTGCACTCCTCCGGCCTGCCCATGGACTTATGGAGGCTACCATTGGCGCTACCACTATTGCACCTCACCATCCCAAAAGGTAGTGGAGAAGAGAAAAAGAAGGAAGGGTTGGGGTGACGGTGGGACTTGAACCCACAGTCCTCTGGCCAGTCCCGTCTGGGCTTACGGAGGTCACCATTGGCGTTGCCACTATCGCGCTCGTCATCCCAAAAAGGTAGTGGTGAGAAGAAAAAGGAAGGGTTGGCTTGACGGCGGGACATGCACCCGCGCTCTTGCATCTCTCCAGCCAGTGCGGCTCTGGGCTTACGGGGTTGCGGTTGATTGGCATTACCACGGTGGCCACGTCATCCTCCCTTCAGATGTTAGAGGCCTAATTAGTTTTAAACAGGGGCACCGCGTGAAGGTTTAGGCCCGTGCCGGGTGTTCGCTGTGGTAGCAGAACTCCCCCTCGACTGACATCCATCGTCGAGGCCCCACCTATATGCATGTACTCGCGCCGTCCTCAAAAGGGCTGCACCTGCTAGCGTGGCCGAGATCAGGTGGTCGCCGAGTTTTTTCTTTTTCTTTTGTAATTATGGGAACGAGTTTAAGAAAAATTCGCCGACCCCCCTGGCTCCCATTAACGTATGACCGCGACGGGTAGGGTCGAATCAGTCACCCTTGGATACCTCGCGCTGACCGCTAATCAGGAATGGTGGGTTTTTCCGAGTCGTTCCGCTTCTTCAGCTGTGTCGCATCTGAGTTGACACCTGCCTGTCTCTTCTGGGATTGATCGATAGGTATATGATAAGTGACGAGAAATCGGAGGACGCCGCTACGTTCACGGCTACATTGTATCAAAATGGTATCACTCAAAGCGTGAGCTTCAAGGATAATGTACATTATCTTTGTCCACCATTGAGTTTGCTTTCCAAATGCAATTCTCCAGAATGCTCCAACTTCCCGTCAATATTTGGCAGGTCTCATCCCACGAGGCACTATACTCACTATGTCGGGCAATGCTATTTTGGGAACTTCAGAGTTAAGTACGTCGACCCGGGAGCACTCATTATCTAACCCGATCTAATTCCACCAATTTCCCCTTATAAACGTCAAACACAGCTTTGGCCAATGCCACCGCTGGCTCTGGTGGCCCAGTTTCCATGGATGGAAAGGAATACGAGACGGCAATCTGGGATTACGATGCTTCAACTCAAAAGATTACACCCATATGGTCAGACCTTCCTATTCACAGTGAGTGTCTCCTTCGGGGATTCATACCCTTCGGCAGTGAAGGGGCCTCTCTATCCACATTGCACGGCGACACTCACTTGGAACACTCCCACTCAGGAAACCCAGTGTTATCAGTCGTGTGGGATTCAGGGCTGCAGATGATCTGTCTCACGCCAACGCCAGAGCGCTTCATCAACACTAAAGCTCGGCATCTTGTGGTGCGTATGTCTCGTTGTGTTCGAGCCTGTGTTGCTAATGATCTTTGACCGTGTGTCGGCCTTGCAGATTCTCTCTCTAGTTGATGACTGACGAGTCATCACACCAATGACAGACTTTTTATTTGCTGTGAGCCGTGCAGGTTTGGCTCTTTGCTTATCCCGTTATCGAGACATCTATACTGGTTATAGAAGGTTTTGGTGCTGATTATACCATTTAAGACCGGAATGAATTTCGAGGGGAGGTGTCCTTTCATACTGGTGCATCAGTTTGCAAGGTGCGGGAACGAGCAGTCTTTCGCTGCATCCCTGTGGACTATACCATGTCCATTCACGCACGCTCTCTTACGTTGGGAATTAGAAAATGCAGTGTTTCACCATCCAAGTCAATGGATCGTTTCTTCCTCCGGGATGCGGCTTCAGACCTATCATCGATGATACGATGACACCAAACCCTTGAGACATCAATACAGGAATGACGAAATTTTTCTCAAAGTATTTGCTGTCAGTGTGCTTGGGGCCAACTCCAAAGACAATGGATCGAACGCTAAGTTTCACACCGTGCAGACACCTCAATGAGAACGTTGAACTTCAACCTGCAACGGAAAACTGGTCGAGTCACGGAATGCTGCACACCCTTGGGCTGGGTCGCCAATTGCTGGCCAAAAAAAAATCCATGGGCTTTGGTCCAATTAAGTTCCACGCTCTGTGCACCTATGGTACGCTGCTTGGGAAAGAGTAACGCTGAAGGAGGTAATCGCACAGACAAAGAGAGAGCAAATTAGGAGGTCACAGTCAAAACAGAAGCGACCCAAAGAACTCCCGAAACACAAATGGAAGAGAAACCCAACGCTGAGCCATAAATATCCAGGATCCTGCCCATAAGATACTTACATACTAGGTCCCTACGCGCGTCGATTCCTAGACTAACATAACGTTTTAGACATGTCGCACGACGGCTGTGATAGCTGATAAAATGGCCAGGTGCTGGCGCTCCGGCCCATGCAGTGCGCCCAGCTATAGATAGGATGAACGGACTACCCGGTGACTTTGGTAAGGAATACTGGATGGATATGCAGGAGATCATAAATTAGGTTCCACCCCGATTGGTGCGATACAACCCATTGCGCACCCTGTCGTACGCCGACTGACATGTTGCAGTTCAGGCCAAACTCAGTTGAGAAGAGTTTTCGATCCCAAGAGGCCAAGGAAAGGAACTTGGATCCCGACAAGAATGATTCCAGTATCGTTGGAGCCACCTGGTTGTGGCAGCCAATAGTACGTGTGGATTCACTCACACTTGTGCTACCAGAATCCTCCGCAATCTCTTGCAGCCTGTGATCGTGAAAAGTGGCAGAAGGATTCGGGGAAATTCACGGATTGGGTCACGTTATCCGTGGGAATCGCCGAACCATCCCAACCACAAAATGCGTGCATCGCTCGTCCGTCACACACTGGGCAACCTCGTCCCGCCAAAGATTGCTTCGCCTTCAGCGGTGGTGAGTTTTTCCCTCCTGCTCATGTTCTTGGTCTTGTGCTCAATCCGGAACTAAACCTCGCTGATGCTCATGTCTTTTCCTACGCCCGGCTTTTCCTCGATACACTCAGTCTGGAGGAGGCGCAGGTGCCAGCATGGCCTCCGTGGTTGACTTCTACTCTAAGTTGCCAAAAGGGCCTGCTAAGGCCCCCGCCATTTCTGGAATCAAGGCCAAATTTTTCAATGGCAAGAATGCATCGGTCGCACCATTCCTTGGTACCCTAACTGCCATATTGTTGCTGGGATACACTATTGACTACAACAGTGTGTATTCCTATCTAACCATTTTTAACCGAGTTCTGAGTTTCCCATTCATCCTTCAGTGCATTTGAGTAAGTCCTACGCGGGTGCCAATCCATCGCCTGTGACTCATTTCCCCCTTAGAACACCACAAGAACTACGAGCATTAGAATGCACCCGGATTTTAGAGGAACCTTGTATCTATCCGGTGCATAATCGAGATAATGGGGTCCGATATCGTAGCCCGCAATGAGATCAGACAAACACTGAGCGTTCGCTGTCCACTCCTTAACCCACGTAGCCCCGTGATGGACTGCCTATTCTCCGGCAACTTGTGTTTCGTTGGTGGCTCTGCTCCTCAGGTCAGCGTGGCATCAGGGTTCCGCGGGGATTATGTCCTTCACATCTTGTCTCTGACTCGGTATGAGTGACACCCAATCCCGATATGCTGGCTACAAATCAAGGCAAAATACATATACACATATACATAAATGAGCAGAAAACTGGCAGGATGTTCAATCCTTAGTATAAGCACGTCCTCACTCTTCATCGGACTCGATTTCAATGTTCTCATTTTCTTCGGCTTTCTCCTTTTCCCTTCGTATTCTAGCCTTCACTCTAAATTCTAGCCCACGATTAACCTCAAGGTCGTGAGGCGAGATTATCTCATGGCAACCAGTAGCAGGACATTCTTTCGGTCGACCATGAAGGTATTCGTTGATGGACTTTTTGGAGAATGAATGTTTGCATTTTTTGCTATTGGAAAGGGGCGTAAACGTATGCTGGAGAATAGGAACGTGGAAGCAAACATACGCCGTGACAGGGTCTTCGAATAATGTGAGTGAAAGAGGACATTTGAGATCCTGGGTTGTGCCTCCAACTTCGAAGTCATCCTCGTCCTCTTCATCTCCTTCCTCTGTAACGGTTATTAGATGACTCGGTCATATCGGTTGACAGTGTGGCGCACCCCGAGGAATTGAGTTGATGATAGGATCCATGGGCTCCTCAGGATGTCTCGCATTCTGAGCAGAAGTGAGCCAATGCTAGCGCAACCCCGTGCAAAGCTCACCCATATGTCTTCTCTAAATGAGCCGTATAAATTGTTCTTCGCGTATTTCTGGCGCGTTGTTTTGGCTTCATATGCCATTTTACCCTTCTTAACTTCTTTAGTGTATAGTTCCTTCGCACTGCTCTACGAGAATGTCAATTGAGGGACGCGCCCGACAAGGTGGAAACATTACTGATAGGGTTCGCTGCCCAACTTGAAGAGCCACTTGTCTGAGAGCCTTCTGATGATCCCCGATTGAGGCCTCCGCATCTATTAGGGTTTTGAAGGAGGCATCGAGTTTTTGGACTTCCTGGCCGGGGGTCGTAAGGATGTACAAAATAGTTCCTGCATTAACTGCACCTTCCCATTTGACTCGGAAGCTCTCCCTCGAGCAGCATTGCGGTATTTTTGAACGTTTCATATGCACCTTCCCAATTCTTCGCCAAGGAATCCCAGTGGCTGCCCAGTAGGAGGATCTGTTGTTTGTCCGCTGGGAAGAGCGATTACAAGAAGATTTTCTGACTAGGTGGCGGTGGCAGCGATTCACTCACATGGGGGAAGTGGTTGGTCGGTGAAGTTTTCAATCAGTTCGTTCTAGGAAGAGCGCGTCATAGTTAACAAGGACGCATTGTCGACGCGTCTAAGTCCTCACCAATTCCTCCTGGAGTTTCTGGTCATCACCATCATCCACCTCATCCTCGTCATTATCGGACCCAGGGGCCTGGTTCGATTCCTCTTCTGCTGCAGATGACTGGCGCGCCCCGCGTCCCCTCGCACTGGCTACGCCGCTCTGCTGGCTTGATCCTTGCTCCATCCCGTCATCTTCATCAACAACACGGCGCCTAATGTTGCCGTTGGCCGCTCGAGGCATGCCAGCAGTTATTGACCCAGTGTTTCCTTCAAGGTAAGCAATATCAAAATCGGGCGCTGATGAGGTAAGCAAAACACACCGGCTCAAAGGGAGAAACCGTGTGAAATTCAGTTCCGCTCATTATAAACCCGGTTGGGGGTTCTGGTGAAGGGAAAGGAATTGGGAATTGCTAACCCCGTAATCCTCGAATTGACCTATGCTACGTGCTCGTCAATTGGGGAGACCAGCCGTACTGAAGCCAACGGTGAGTGTCATCATCGTGTTTGCTGGCGTTTCTGGGACCTTGACCCTTCCTTGGTGTCAATCCCAGGTCAGCATGCCGCGAAATATTTCTGCCTCGCGCCCAGGCAAGTCCGAGCAAGTTCCCCCGGGCTATTCGATCGACCCAACGGTTGGGCCGATGCTTGCATTCCAAAGATCACTGCCTCATTTACGGTGCCAACCCTTGCCAGCACAACGGCCAAATACCTCGAAATTGTCCAGCCCCACCAAACCAAAGAGGAGTTTGGGAGAACCAAGAAAGCTGCTGAGGAGTTTGCAAGTTCCGATCTTGGGAAAGAGTTGCAGAGGAGGCTAGAGGCTCGGGCTGCAAATAACGAGACCGGCCCGAACTGGTTGCAGATTGGTGGAATGATGCCGCATACATGGGTTATCGAGGTGCGTCAACTGCCTATTATCCAATTTATTCACGCTGAAAGCTGTGATTAGATCCTGTCGTGGTCTTTGTTTCATATTTCTTCGTGCACGTAGACGACAAGCTTCGCCGAACGCCCGAAAAGCGTGCAGCTGCTCTTATAAGAGCTATGCTTCCGTTCCGTGAATTGGTGGAGACGTAAGAGCGCCTCTAAATTTAATCCTAGCTTGGGTTTCACAGTGTCTTTGCGCAGGCAACAGCTTATTCCAGACAAAGTACGAGGTATCCCATTATGCATGGACTCGTACAAGTGGCTGTGAGTCGAATATCAACGGTTCTGGTTGCGCGCCATGTTAAGTTTTCCTCAGATTTAATGCGTCCGGTATCCCGTTAAACCATCCGACAAGGCTGTCAAGTATAACCCCCAACAGAATAACCATATTACATTCATCCGCAAGAACAAGTTCTACACTGTTGACTTGGACCACGAAGGCGTTCAGCTTTCTACTGCCGAATTAGAATCGTATGTGTTTTCGCTGGAACTATGTCCATGGCTGTTACTGATTTATTTTCAGTCAAATCAAGCGAGTCATTGACGTGGCCGGCACAGTCGAGGGGCCTGCTATCGGTGCCCTCACATCCGAGAATCGCGACATCTGGACAGACGCACGTGAAGCCCTTCTCGCCGTATCACCGAGCAATGCCGAGGCTCTGCGGCAGATTGAGAGTTCTGTTATCATTGTCGCGTTGGATGACTCTAAGCCTGTGACACGCGAAGCAATCTCGAGTGCCGTTTGGGCTGGAAATGCGAAGAACAGGTTTTACGACAAGCATCAGTTCATTGTGTTCGATAACGGGCGTAGCGGGTTCCTTGGTACGTGCACCCCGGCATCCTTTAAATCAAAATTAAGTTAACAAATCCAACTTATTCCAACATAGGCGAACACTCGTGTATGGATGGTGCGTGGAGTTGGGCTCCAAATTGTTGGGGTGTGATAAATTCACTAACTTGGATCCCCACGATCAACATTTCCTCATCCTTTCCGCTCCCACACGCACCAATTGTTCCACAACGCCGAAAATGAATGCGTAAATAGGGACACCGACCCTCCGAATGAACGAATTCATCATCTCGAGCGTTGCCCGTGGCAAAGTTGATCATGGCTCACCCAGCGTTCGACCCAACATCCCACAACCTAAGGAGGTTACCTTCAAACTCGATGCGAAGACCAATAAGTACATTATTGAGGCCACTGAGCACTATAATGAACTTGTTGCCCAGCATTCTATGGATGTGAGTTTCATTGGATCCTGGGATTTTACTCTTCCCGAAGTTACTGTCATCCCCCTTCATGATTATTCCACAATCTCTTCTTCGTTTGATCAGTACTCACAAGACTGATTTAGGTATTGCATTATGAAGGCTACGGCTCGTCGTACATCAAGAAGCACAAGATATCTCCTGACGCATGGGTTCAAATGGTCAAGCAACTGGCATTCCATAAGCTCACCCAGCGCCCATCCGTCGTGTACGAAAGTGCGCAAACCAGGAAATTCCAGCTCGGGCGGACAGAAGTCATTCGGAGTACCAGCAATGAGGCGAAGGCATTTGTTGAAGCAATGGAAGATCCTCATGCCACTGTACGTGCCTCTCCCTGAGTAATTCATTCACCTTTCATTTTATGATGTACGATTCTTTTTCGGTATCAAGGACAAACACCGATCTGAGCTCCTCCGCCGTGCTGCTGCGCGTCATCTGCAATATGCTGCGTGGGCTGCGGATGGACAAGGAGTCGATCGACATCTTTTTGGTCTGAAGAAACTCCTCAGGGAAGGCGAGCCTACGCCCTCCATCTACACAGATCCAGCGTTTTCCAAGACGAACCATTGGGAACTATCAACTTCACAGCTTTCCAGCCCCTGGTTTGACGGATGGGGCTATGGAGAAGGTAAGCTTCATTTCAGGCTTCTGAGTCTGGTACACTCATTGTAATTTGAATTGTTAGTCGTACCTGATGGTTTCGGTCTCTCGTACGCTATTGGTGCTGACTACCTTCGTTGGACGATCACTACGATCACTGGCAAGGGCGCTGAATTAAAACACTACCTTGCCGAGGCAGCCACTGAGATAAAGCGCATGACGGAGAGCGCAGCGCACGAAGCCGAGGTCAAGGCTAGATTGTAAAAGCCTTGAAGGCGCACTGCTGCACAAGCAGAGCACAATATCCTAAAAGAATTCACGTGTCATTATACTTAGATTAGATCTTCACTATACATAATACTTGTTTCGTGCTTCTTCAGTGAATCATTAGTTCGGAATAAATACAATGGCGAGTCATAAAAGACATTGTCCGTGTCAATGTGATGATGCGCAGACGCGGGGCAGGTCTACACCGCCCGTTTGCGTATTGAGGATCAGGGCAATGATCAACCTGCACGACAAGTCAGATTCGAAATCCTATCAAAAAAATGACTGCGCAATAACTAACCCATATAACCCCAACACTTCTGAGAAAATGAGGATAAGAACCATACCCACGAATACTCTTGACTCGTACACGTATGCTCGTACACACTAATAGAGACAAAGGGGCGAGCAAAGATAGCATTAGTGGAATCAAGTTTTCACACAAAAACCACAAAAAAAAAAACATACTGCGTCTCCAACTATTCCAATCGCGTAGCCCGCAGCCATCCCAGTGATTCCACAACACAAACCAGCAGCAAGATGAATGAAACCATTGAAAAGCGGGTAATCTTTACTCGGGTCCACTGAACATAGTGAGTGGTTGAAAAAATGGTCAGCGGAAGCTGGTGATTTTTTGTGACGGAGGAGCTGATGAAACTCACGGTCCCCTGCTATCATCACAGATACGACCAGGCCATAAACGGCGATGATACCAGACATCACAACCGGTATGAGGGACTAAACAACCACGAAAAAAAAAAAGAACCTGAGTATGAAGTTTGTAACCACAACATGCATCAAACGAACCTTCATGACTAAATCTGGACGAAAGACGGCAAGACCAGAGATACCAATGCCCGCTTTCGACGTTCCAAAGGCAGCACCAATAGCTAGACGAGAAAGCCAAAACGAAAGTAAAGTCAGATGAAAGAGAGCCATTATTCGTGATACGTTCAACGCGCTTCCCCACCACTTTGTTCATGGTTGGTTAGCGTTCTTACGCACTGCTAAAGATCATCTATATGGGGAGGGGGGAATTGAATACGATTTCTAAAAAGTTTTGTACAACGATACTCACGGCTGACGCCACGCCGGCGAACCCGAAGAATGAGGCATACGGTGGACAAGCAGACATCTTGTGAGGGGGGAGAAATGGCACAATCCGGCTTACGTAATGTGACGATATGTAGGCACGATAATTAAATTAAGCTTAAGTTCTGGCTCTTACGCTCTCCCGCAGTATTAGATTTCCTTGGATATTCACATACGCTGTGCATGTGGCCTCGGACTAGAGGCCCATGTACTACAGGTGTCGCGCACGGACATTTAGATTGTTGATTGTCCGTGATTTCCTTTCTTGGTGTCCACACTGGATGGCTTAAAAGCCACCTCAACCAATCTCTTCTCTCTCCTCACCCATCATTGGAACTGAGCGCTTATACGACGTTAATCCTTATATGATACATGGACCCTAGATCGATTTTGTCGGGCAGTTCTCCACTGTTTTCTCATGACGCCGTGACCACCGTCCCCGCCTTGGCGTCTTTGCTCAGTTGTGGCCTTCTGTTTCTCGTTGTTTGGTCTTGATTCTATTTTAGTGCCAGTTGGTTCCTTATGGCTTATTCTCCCCGCTAGGAGCAGCCCCCTTTTTTTTTTTCGTGAATATTTCGATCATGCTGCGGTTGTTGACCTAAGACCTTCGGTTGCCGGATCTTGGATAACTTCTGGCGAGGCGGTTGAGGGGAGGGGGAAAGATGGATGGCAAGAGGAGCGCGAGGATGCCCAAGCCCGCGAAGTTGGGGTTGGGCAATGCGAAACGAGGCGATCGAACGGCTCAGCAGCCCCTTCTACGTAACGACGACGTGAAGACTCATTTGGGGCCACCCCGGAAAGCCTTATTCTCAGCCCACGTCATCCTCTCTCTCTCTCAGTGTTGGCAGCCAGGGTTATACCGAAGAGACTAGGCCATCATCGAGATGGACGCTTCCAAGGTTGATGCGAACAATTTCAATTTAAAGGCAACGCCATTAATGACCTCGGTACCCCGCAACCTCACCCGCCACCTTCAACGAGCATGATGTGCCCCGTGATGTGCCCCGTGATGCGCCCCGTCCCCCCAGAACCCCCCTTACTTCAAGTACCCGAGCGACCATCTTTTGAAGCTGAAGGGCACCATTCCGGACAAGGCGATGCGTTATCCGACGAGAACGGCGCGAACCGTGCCTCTTATGGCCACTAAGCGCAGCAACACCACCGGCCTAACCGTCTGTCGTGCTAACGAACTATGCTCCTACGCCCATAACTACTTTGGGGACATGACACCAACCAAGATCTCGAAGGAGTGATCGCATTCTTCCAGCAGGTCTGGCCTCTTGTCGGACGCATCGGCGGCCTCCTTACCGGCGGGATGACTGGTTCCACGGATTCCTTGAACATCACCTTTCGCCACCACGCCCATCAACTTCTTCCTCGATATCTCACATGGAATCCAAAGGGCTCTACAAGCCCAACGTCAACCCTACCCTCGCCTTAAATGCCTTCGGTCTCACGCAGGATGCACTCTTGGATACTCGGTTTTACTATCCCCTCTCTCCACGTTCACCCACAACGCTGTAATGACGTACTTGACTTAATTGCGTAAAGCAGTCTTTTGTGACGAAAATGATATGTATCACGACTTTGTGTGTCTCAACCCGCACGGACCGAAGGTGCGATGTCTAATTATTGTTTTCGTGCAAGGAACAAGACGCCATCGAATAAGACATTGCATGATAAAACAAATCAACGGACACATGTGGGTCGGTCCATTTCCAATTAATTGTGACGATTGGCCACAGCTACGTCCACACAGGTACCATATCAAAGGAAGGGGGAACAACTGATCGGGCTCGGTTCCGAGTTGCTTTTGTTGCCCATGCATGCAAGGGGACCGGACCTCGCTCGGACCATCCTGGGAGTCCTTTCCAGGATCCCACGCACATGCATCTAGTGAGAATTCATAGGATAATGATCATTATATACTCTTCATCAAGTTTCATGCACCCCAGGCCGGCCTTATCGCCAGCACCGATCGATGAACAAACAGCTTCGTCGGCCACAGATACATAAAAAGGGTTGTGGGTCTTTTTCACCATCGACCTTTTCAGCCTTCACTTCCAATTAACCCCTCCCACCACCACCTTTCTAGTTTTGATGCGTGTCTTCCCTTGGATTGTATTTACTTGAAACGGAATTGTATCGGATAAACCTCTGAAAAATACCCTCCCCTCGCCCGTCATTCGGAACCGTTACTGTAAGATCCACCCCATGCGGTGACATGTGTATATGTATCTAATCGGGCTCCAAAGCAATCAATATTGTAAGTTACTCCGAGATGACAGAAATATTACAGTAAGTAAATGGATCAAGAACAAGTTACTAGCGCATGCATGTATGTGCGAAATAACCAGACTACTGAAGTACTAGTGAAGGGAAAAAAAACATAATTTTGATGATGTCTTTGATCGGCTGCTACAAAGGGATGCAGGTCGGAGCTAGTGGAACTACACCAAGCTAGAGGGGGGAGGACAGGGGAAGAACAAATACATTCGGGATTTCAGCGCGAGGATGAGACGAAAGTGGAAAACCCAGTAATTGAAAAACCATCATGTACCAGTTCATGCACACATCCCTTGAGATCGAGCCAAGATACTTTCAATCCTGCTGCAAATGCCAAATTACATGCCATCCTTTGTCTTTTCAAACCCAAATATTAGCGGTTTACATTAAGGAAAAAAAAAACCCGTGGTGTAAATATTAATCTTTCTTTAGTTCTCGTCGAAAGACGAAAATCCTCTCCTCGTTTCCACCTGAAGTGACTTCTTCCACACCTGGAATCGATAAAAGTTCCGCTGTCAAAGTACTGCCACCACCAGCCGCAGCCTCAGCAGCAGACGACGACGCTGCGACGACGACGTAAATTTCTAACCCATCGCCGACCTATATAAATTGGTATGAGATAACATTAAACCGGAGCCGAACCGAATGAGATCGCTGTAGCCTCGACATGTGGCTGCAGAAGCACCCCCGCGGAGGATCCTCGCGAAAATCGGATGGGGGGAAGGGGGGGAGGAAGAACCAAGGAACGGATGATGAGAACCTTACCTCGATGTGTCGTTCTGTTGCGCTAGTAAAACTGTCCGTGACGAGTGAGAGGACATCGAGAAGCGGAAGATGTTGGGGGTGAGGAACAGTGATTGCAACTTGGTTTTTGAAGTAGATCTATACATATTGCGGTTCGGTTCGGGTTTTATTTGAAAAAGAAGTTGAGGTTCCGTGATAAGGTCGAAATGGAGTTTTAAGTCAGTACTCGGCATGACTTCGGACCAATATACAACACAAGAGAAAAACTTTTGATACTTGCCTGGTTGTCCAAGAAAGGTTGTATCAGGGAAGAAGCGGCTCCCGCAGCACGACAAGCCTCGCGTTCGTAAGAGCCAACGGGGTCAAAGCTGTATACCGCACCAGTGCCTGCCCAATAACAAATGATTGAGTATGTTAGCGTAAAGCAGAACAACGAATTATGTGCGTTTACCGTCTTCCTCGATGCCTCCAAGGATGTTGTAGACGTAGTATGGGAAAAACCGCTTAGCATAGAGCAGAGTCTGAATGAGTCGCGCGATCGCACGCAGAGGCATGTCCTTCGCATGGGCGTGCTTGTACCACTTTTTTTTATTTTTTTTTTCAAAATAGAAAAAAGGTCATTCATGTTCAACCACAAATGGAGGGATTAGATTGGATTGGGGGGGAAAAGAGAGAAGGTGACGTTACCTCTAATCGTTGACGAACGGTCTTTACAAACATATTGCCATCCGCTGCAAAACCGTTCACGGCCAAAACAGCTTTGTTGGTTCTGTTTTCTCGCGCGCGCGCGTGTGAAGAGAAAGGTCCACACGTACGCCATGACATGGACAGGTTACATAGAGGGTTGATCAGGTATGAATTCATCGAAAAGTTAACGCAAGGCACACGAACAATCTGAAAACTTTAGGAGCATAGCGCGTCTGAATGCTATAACCCTCTGACTGACGAGTATCGCCAGCGACAACTGAGAAATCCTTGCCTGCGATTGCGAGGATGGTACCGCCGTTCTCAGCGTACGGTTGAAGTCAACTTGGGTCGGCTGAGCAATTAGAGGCATTGAGAGGAAACGGTGTGAATGTGGATGTTACAGAAGATGAGAGGAGAGATGTGGTAGTAGTGATTTGTCGGGGAGAGAGAGAGAGAGAGAGAGAGACGCGCGTCGAAGTCAAAAGTAAACCGGAGCCTTCGTGACGCTTTCGCGCTTACTTCCGATAATTCTCCGAACAAACTCTTTCAATTTGTCGGTTCAAAAACTGCCGTCGCTCTTCGGTTGGACCGTTGTTTTTTCTTCTCTATTAAAAAAATGGCCAGAGAGAGAGAGATGGAATACCGAGACCCCCTTCTGCGCACAACCCCGCGCCTTTTTGATGTCTTGTATGATGCTGCATTGACCAACATCAAGGGCTCAAGCCCTCGAGCGCAAAACGATGCAAAACGATTGAATAACGGAGAAACGCAGGAGAATCCTCGGCTGATCGATTATTCCGAACTTCAAGTTGTGAGGAAGATTAATTGCTGGTGGATCTATTTTGGTGGACCATTTTTCTGGGCCCCTATGTAACTCGTTCCAACACAGGTCTCCATAGAACTCTTGGGGACACCTGTCATTCATTCGAACAGGAAATCCCCGCATTTCTAGCGATGTAATTCCACCAGACCTAATATTGGCATTGAAGTCAGACGTGGCTGCACAACACCAGGCACCCCCATGGGCATGCGCATCGGAGGGGCACGCTCCGATTTGTGATTGTGTTCGCTTCAGATCAGCGTACCAGTTCCCATCGATCTTGCCTTCATTCCTGATACCGAACGATCTTTGTACGTGCTGCGTCAAAACATCCCCCCTCAAATTCAGAAAATGTCTTGCCTTTTTCCCCTCACATGGACACGTTGACAACGGCGCTAACTTGTGACAAACTCTGTTTCCAGTACTACTGTTCCGTCGTCTGGTGTAGCATCTAAGTCTAAGATAGGATGCCTAGCTCTCCTCTCGCATGAAAGTGTTGTCGATTTTAGCCTGGGAAGACTGGTTGTTGCATGTGTACATGTTACCAGTATCGAGGAGTTACATGTGAAACTAGAATATCTGAATCTTCCCGAATCCTCCACTGCATACACATGTGCACTATCCAGTTCAGTGCCTTTCACCTTGCTCCTGGCAGTGCTAGCAATGTGTCGGTGTCGGTCTTTATGTACATCGCCCTGCATTACCAAAGACAGTTGCCCACTGTCATTGTCGCCCCCCCCCTCCCTCCCCACAAAGCATTCACAAGCCGCCAGGGGGGGGAGATACCGAGTTTGAACCGATAGTACTTGTACTATCCAACCGGGACTTCTTGCCATCGAAGGAACGACCGCGCTAAATGGGGTTGCGTACCTATTCGCCTTAGGCTGGTCCTTGTTCTCTTTTCAACAGTCCCATATGTCTGTTTCCGTTTTCTGTAGCCCTCCCCGTGTCGCCTCCACCGCTAATGAGATGCCCTCTCGCAAATCATGCCCAGCCCCTTCACCCAAATCATATGTCCCGCCATCTATCTCATCGGGGAAATCTCCTTCGGCACCCGACCACTGGAGGGAACTGTACCCATTTTTTTTTTTCGTCTTCCCTCTGTCAGAGTATCCAGTTCTGGAGATGAGCGTCCGAGACGCTGACCCTGGTCCGTGTCTTGGATGTTGGAGTATCTTTCTTTTATAACTATAGGGCCATTGTCGCATGCTCCGTGCCTCTCAGAGCCCCATATTCAAATTCAAAGAGGGGCGTTCGTTGAAATTCCGTTAACGAAGGCGTCCAACCTGCAGACCCGTGGACATTCAGCTGCCCTACGCTGAAGCGCTTCGTCCTCAGGCTAGAGTCTCGATCAAGCCTTACTTCTTTGATCTACCTCACTACCCCTGCATGAGTGGAACCGCCTTGGCTGAGGTTGATGTAAAAGGCTGGAAGCATCCCAGGTGCTCGTCGTATTCTATCCAACCTCTATCACCTCGGTTCATCGTCCAACTCCGAGTGTCATCCAGCCACCTCCAAGCCCTCCTGGCTGCCTCACCATCAATGATGCAACCATAGATTTTGTTGTTAAGCTGGACGAATTTGGGCTATATAAACACCGGACTGGCTATGTCATGTGAAAAATTCTCTCCAAGTGGGGGCAGCAATCATTGCCCAGAGTTTTGTGCCTCAAGGACAACCTTCCGTTGCTCTCTGCTCAGCTACCTTGATGCCTTATCATGGTTCCTTTATTATGTAATATAATGTCCGTTGCTTGGGGGGGTAGAGTAACCTGGCTACGGAACACTCATTCGCATTCCCACTGCCCAGTTGGACTCATGTCCTCAAATAAGGATGTGGGGTAATAATGAGATTTGTGCACCAACCAACAAAGCGATGGATCTTTGGTATTTGATGAAGATTATCATTTGCATCCCTGGTCCCATGCCCTAAGCGTGCTGGACAGAGCCCGGATTAAAGTTTCACTCTATGGTTATATGCATGACAACCACAGGGTGGGGAACCCCTTGGAACGCTGATGACGAGCGTATTGGATGAACTGTTCACAGAAGTCACGGTGCAACGTTGGACTGAATCATTAAATATAGGCGGATAAGGGTACCTTCGGGTCGTCCGTCGGTAGCAGAAGGTATATCCGACTTGTGTTCATTCCGGAATCGCGGGAGAGCTCTCATGGTCTCAAGCGACCTATAGATATCATTTCGAGCGATATTAAGCACGCTCCCCTTGGGCACTGTTGCATCAGCATTGTCTGCTTAATTTTTTGGAATTGGCCAAGAAATAGTCATGACGCTGGTTGTCAAGTTCCCAACCGCAGCTCGTCCTTGTGGATGCCTATATTATGCTGAGCCGTTCTGGCATTGCCCACCCTACGCACTGTACTGATATGTTTGGATGTCTGAAGCTGTTCGGATCTGTGGTGCTAGCGGTTTTCGCCCACCTTGTGTTAGGCCATAGAACCCCGCCTTCGGGTGCCATTACGGTGGGAAATGGCGGCAAGTACAGCACACTACAGGCAGCTCTTGCGGATAATTCTTCGAATGTGTTTTTCCTTTACGCTGGAACGTACAAAGGCAACACCCTTATCTCGCGCTCAAATGTCAAGATCTATGGGCAGACATCGGGTTGGACTACGTATGCTGGAAATTGTAGGATACATCTATGTGCTACTTTGATTCGGTTATCTTCTGATCGGAAAGTATAACAGTGGTGTCCCTCACTAATAATATAACGGCCTTTGATGTTGGAAGTGACATCGGTAGCGCCACGGTTCAGGTCGAAGCCTCAGGGGTTAGCCTGTATAACCTCAACATAAATAACACATATGGAAACGCTCTTTCTCATGTACGCCGGCCTCTGTTAAGTGCGAGTCCCACTAACTTCTCCCTATGTAGTCTCCAGCTATCGCTTTATGTGTTCAGGGCGATCAGTCAGTGGTGGTATTTTGATCAGTTTGTTGTTTGTTCATGTAGCAGTGATCCCATAGGTTTGCTGGATATGGACTCAAAGTGCAGGGCTACCAGTGAGCTAGCCGACATTCCGCATTTTTGTACCTCACCTCGGCATCAGGGATACATTGCTTGCAAATACTGGCCGGTAAGTACTGAATCACTAGAGCACATTTCATAATACCTTACTTTGATGTTATCTTTCCAGTCAGTACTATCGGGGCTGCTGGATTGAGGGTGCCGTCGATTTTGTACGTTAAATCACATTCGACAGGCCTACATGGACTGACGCTGGCGGAAGATTTTTGGGCTAGATGCTTCGTGGGCTGCCATTTGTTCCTAACAGTTGCTTATCTGCTCACTGTCCGACGAAGTATATGGATAACGAAATCTGTCATTCACGTAAGTAGGTGTCGGTGCTACATAATCGTGCTGCTGACGTTCCCTAAATTCAGACTGTTGGAAGTGGTTATATTACCGCGTCTGGGTGCGATGATCACACCTGAAATTGTTTTCGTAGCTTTTTTAATTTTAGTGAGAAATCCCTTAGCCGTTCATCAGATGATTCCAACTACTATGTAATCGATACATCTACCGTCCAAGGATCAGGCTCAACATACCTGGGAAGACCTTGGAGAAATTACGGCCGGTGTGTCCCGTATGCCATTTTCCCGTATCCGACTGACCTTATCGATCCCCGTTAGAGTCGTTTTTCAAAATTCGACGTTGGGAAAGAATGTGTAGGTTCTCCATTGCGTTTCCTTACCAGCGGGAAGCTTACCCAAACACCTAGCAATAGCGCTGGCTGGTCGGTGTGGGCCGCTGGGTAAATATCTTACGGACATCTTTAACATTAGACTCTAACTATCTGTTTTCTTAGCGACCCTCGGTATGCAGCTCGTTGATGCCCTGGATTCTTGCGGCCGTAGCTGATAATCGATCCCTAGAACCGATCATGTTACGTTCGCCGAGCACCAGTATGTTTTATGTTCCACATTGCCTCATTTCGAAGTCAACATTTTCAATGTACAGGAATACGGGTCTGGGGGCTCGCGGTCAGCGTGCCTCCTTTGCTACCGGACTAACGACCCCTGTTTCCATTAACACGGTTTTGGGATCAACTGACTGGATCGACCCAGCGTATCTGCGAGTCCATGGTGGCTAGTTTCGTAGCCAATAGATTCATTGGAAAGTTTGGGCCGATGCATTCCTGGACGGCCGGCGGACAACGGAGACCCACATCTTAGAGCTGGCACTCGAATTTAGCATACAATATACCATTCGTTTACACATTTCGCCTAAATCATGCAGTAGGATGCTGTTTTATTCCCCGTTTGCTTGGTGGGAAGTCCAGCCAACTTCAGTGTGCTAGTCCGTGCTTGGATACCTGCCTTCCCCCAATCGGCATACCAGACTTGAGTTCCAAGGTGGAAAGGAAGTCGAGTTCTCAGCTCGCCCTAAACATACACTCCGTAGTTACTAGTGACAGATCAACATGCCCGCAGGATGATGGGAATAACTAGCGTGCCAAGCTTTTCCCGTGCATATCCCTCTTTTACCCATCAAAACAGGGGCTCACTTTCTGATGAGAAACTTCAAACGTGTCTCTGGGTCAAGGTAGAGTAGCCATGACAACGTGAGTGCAAATAGAATCTGAAGTGTACCACAAGGTCCAGTGTCCACGGAGCCGTATGAGTTCAACCTCCTATGGATTTCCTGTACGGAACGAGCCTTTATGATTAAACCCGGATGAAAGGCAAGACCAGAGACACCGATCCCTTCTTGTGGCGTGCCAAAGGCAGCACCAATAGCAGGGTGAGTCATGGAGTAGATGACTTCGTAATATCATCATCCGTGTTATGTTCATTGTGTTGGAATTTCAACAACTAGTCCCAGCGTCCGAGTAATGCGGGATTTGATTTTTCTTTTTGGGGTCGCTACAAACACCGAGACATGATCAATAACTCACTGCTGACAGCGGAATGAGTTTTGAGGGTCCTCTGTTTGCTCTCTGCGCGCTCTTTATGCGGTGAGACATGTCAGAGACGTGGTTCATGTATAAAGAGCGCTCTCTCTGTAGATCCTCTCCCTCAGAACTCTTGTACGAGTCTGAGGTGAGAGCTATAGCTTTATTATTATCGACACCTTTCTAACTATGTACATGTTGACGCAGAATTTTACGCGTCATAGTACATTCATTCTAGAACTTGTACAGTCTGAGAATTTTACGCGTCATAGCCTTTTATCTTTAAAAGGTTATGAGCCCAGCGATGGCTAATTCAAGCGATGTTAAAGGTACTCACAGCATTGAGAAACTTAAGAACGATGGGAAGAACTACCGCATATGGTCTATCCGATGTCGTATGGTTCTAATTGATCAGGGACTCTGGAATTTTGTCAATCCGAAATCAAACACCTCTGATCCCCCTATTCCCTCTACTTCTTCATCAGCAAAAAATTGTTATGCTCCTGAGTGCTCCGGAGTATCGAGAGCACTGGGAGAATCAGGAGGAGATTGGCCGGTCCAGGAACAGCCCATTTCCTCCGGAGTTGGCTAGGTACTCCAGGGCACTCCCAGGAGGGCCTGGAGCATTGCTTTGTGCACAAACATATCCAGTAAATACAATTTAAATGCTTCAAAGTGTATAGGGGTGAGAAGCTTCTGGGAGCTCCTGGAGCATTTGAAAATGAAAAGGAAAAAAAGAGGGAAGATCCCCCATGAATACCTCCTACCACAAGACTAACACAACAAGACACTGCTTAACATTTAGATCAAACACTATACTATATATCAAGGACACTGAGACTCACCAATACACAATCAAAATTTATGGCCTGATATATGATTAATTTGGCAACTTAATCACTTTCGGGCTGGCAGAATATGGGGGAGGGGGAAATGGGGGAGAATGAGGGGGGGAAATGAGGGGGAAATGAGGGGGAGAATGAGGGGAGAATGAGGGGGAGAATGAGGGGGAGAATGAGGGGAGAATGAGGGGGAGAATGAGGGGGGGGAATGAGGGGGGGAATGAGGGGGGGAATGAGGGGAGAATGAGGGGGAGGATGAGGGGGAGAATGAGGGGAGAATGAGGGGGAGGATGAGGGGGAGAATGAGGGGAGAATGAGGGGGAGGATGAGGGGGAGAATGAGGGGAGAATGAGGGGGAGAATGAGGGGAGAATGAGGGGGAGAATGAGGGGAGAATGAGGGGGGGATATAGAGGGAAATGAGGAAAATTTGAAAAATAGGGACTTCTAAAAAGTTGAAAAAAATAATTAGGGAAAAAATCAAAAAAATTCAGGAACTGTAGTGCCTTTGAAGTGCTTTCAGGATATATAATTATTTGCAAAATCGAGGAAGAAATGATGGAGAAAAATGGAAAATACTTTCGGAGACCCGAGAAATAATGAGAACTGAATTGATGGGAAAGTCTGAAAATTGAATAGGGAAGTGAGGGGAAGCCTTGTAGCATTGTTATTTTCTGCTGTTCTAATTTTTCCTGATTGTTCTTGGTCTCACTCCCAGCTGCTACTGGATACTCCTGGATACTCCTGGAAGCTCCTGGGAGGGTCCAGGAGCAGCTAATGGAAAATACTTTTGGAGACCCAAGAACTGAATTGATGGGAAAGTGAAAGGTTTGCTTACTATTTTGGGGATGGTACGTTCCATTCCCCCGTTCGCCTCAGGCCTCAGGTAGTCCGTCTAAATATAAGCTTTAATGTGCTGTATATTCAACGGGGTAGAGGTAAAAGGCTACCGGGCCTTTACAACTACTCCGAGGTATATATATGTAATTTACATATCTCGGCACAAATAAATAAAGAAATAAACACATCACTATAATGGGAATTATAGTGATGCAACATAATATAAATATCACTATAATCGGAATTATAGTGAAGTAAGGTTAATCCCTTACAGAAAGTCTGAAAATTGAATAGGAAAGTGAGGGGAAGCCTTGTAGCATTGTTATTTTCTGCTGTTCTGATTTTTCCCGATTCTTCTTGGTCTCATTCCCAGCTGCTCCTCAATACTCCTGGAAGCTCCTGAAAGCTCCTGGGAGGGTCCAGGAGCAGCTGGGAGTGAGACCAAGAACAATCAGGAAAAATCAGAACAGCAGAAAATAACAATGCTTACAAGGCTTCCCCTCACTTTCCTATTCAATTTTCAGACTTTCCCATCAATTCAGTTCTCATTATTTCTTGGGTCTCTGAAAGTATTTTCCATTTTTCTCCATCATTTCTTCAATTTTGCAAATAATTATATGTCCTGAAAGCACTTTAAAGGCACTATAGTTCCTGATTTTTTTTTTTGATTTTTCCCGAAATTTTTTTTTTCAACTTTTTAGAGACCAAAATTTTCCTCCCACTGCTCCTGGCACATTACATACTCCTCACCACTCCCAGCTGCTCCTGAACCCCCTCCCAGGAGAACACTATTGGCTCCAGGAGTGCCCAATCTGCTGTTTTGTCTCCCACATGCTCCAGCCACTCTTGATGCTCCGGAGCATAACGGACTTTTGCTGATGTTCTACCACTGCTGCTAGTGCCCCTGCTGCTCCGCCTGCTGCACCTAACCCCACTGCAACTGCTACTACCAGTGGCACTTCTACCTCATCCACTTCCACTACGCAGATGACTAGTCTTACTCTCGAAGAATGGAATGAAAAGGATGAGCGAGCCTTTGCCCAAATATGTCTCACGCTGGAAGAAAATCCCCTCAATATTGCTGAGGACAAAAAGACCACGAAGGAGGCTTGGCTAGTGCTAGAGCAACGCTACTTGGGTCAAGGTGCATTAGATGCATCTGATTTGATGCACGACCTACACCACTTCAAGTTGGATGAGTCCAAAGCACTGGAACCTCAAATCAACCAAATGCGCATAATGTGCGGTGTAGGAGAAATAATGGTCACACTATGGAAACCCATTATGGAAATATGCCAGATAAATCACAAAACCCCATACGACAAGTAGATATGAGAAAATAGAAGGACCTGAATTTTAACGAATTTTGACGAGATTTTACAAATTATTACGACTACATATGATAAAATGGAAGAAAGAAAATTAGCAAAAATACTTCAAGCTTAGCATCAACGAGACAGAATTCTCGGGAGAATTTATAGCAAATATTAAACAAAGAATTAGGACAATCGACCAAGATTTGACTATAAAAACAATCAGAGAACCTCCACGGAAACTACTTTCCCATGTCCACACACGTAGCTGAGGATGGAAGTACCATGGAACAAGGATTCCTCAGGAACTAATGCAAAATTGAAAGTTGTGTTTATAATAGGAAATATAGATGTCCCCCAAACGGACCCAATGAAAGTAATTACAGGGAAAACTACCCATAAACGATGAAGATATGACTAAAACTCCCAGAAAACAAGGACAACTTTTAAAAAGCAAGTGCAAAGAACAACCAGTAGCGACCAAGACGAGCTTGATAGCCCATTAGAAAGGAAGGGATCTAATCTTAATCCACCCAAATTTTCATAATAAAAGGATCACGCATTAATGAGATATCCAATAACAGGAATAGCGACATCAAAAGTCCGGGATCAGGGAAAAGACGATGTTTATGAAGTATCCATAATTAAAACATACAACGAAATTTACACGGAAATTATGAAAAATAGGGAACTATAGTTATGCAAATTTTCAGCCCAAACGGTCCAGCCGTTGTAAAGTTATTCCAATGAAGGGAATATAGAAATCCACATCATGTTTAATGACACGTGAGGGTGGCAATGCGAAGGGAACCAGCCGTCGGAACCAAGATCCGCACTTTGGCAGATTGCGAAGACCAATTTCCATCCAAATAAGGAAGTGCCCGGTCAAAACAAAGCATGGAAAGTGCAAAACAACCTTAGATCATGAGGGAAAAATCTGAAATAAATCACGGAAGCCCATATGAAGGATATAAACACCCGTGCATACCATAAATCCTGAACAATTAAACAGAAACAGCGCCCACATACGAATGACTATGGGAACGATGCATGTGATTACTGAATGTGTGCGTGAACTTTTGCTAACTCGACAAATACCAGGAAATAGAACACAACTTTAGTACCATTGGAAAGGTGGGAATAAATGGAAATTTATGATACCAAGAACGTTAAAAACCATCCAGAAATGAATGAGATAAAAGGACATGAAGTTAGAAACCTGAAAACACGTGGGAAGACAGCTTCAAGAGGTCCAGAGCCCTGAATAAAATACATAAAAATATGATATCTTCGAGGACGACCTACTATAACAACGAACAATACATATGGAGGATTAGGATATGATAATACAAAGGGGAATCAG